CTCTGCTTTCACTGCCCCGAGTCACTGAGACCAGGCTATCAGCTCATTTCCACAGAAATGCTTTACTTACACCTTTGATCTTCCGCTCTTTTATGCCCCAAAAGCACCCCATGCTCCTGGGTGTGGATAAATCAAAAATTAACGCATTTAAATTGACAAATCCAATGATATAATTAAGTCAGGACAAAGGAAAAATAATTTTCCATTTATCAAAATAACTTCAAAAGAAAATCATACTGGCTTGGAAGGGTTCCCATGCCCAAACCTGCACCCAGAAGCACTACATTTGATCTTTAGACTTGTATTATAAAAAGCACCAAATACAGAAATCAGGTTTGTTATTTTGAGATAACAGCAAACTATTTAGCAGACACAATGGTGAGTTCCCAGCTCCAAAATGCAAACTCTCATAGGCCATAGACTATATGATACAGACTATAAGCATACCACTCTGAGGTATTTCAATGATTAAAGGGTTAGGGCATAAACCCAATTCCAAATCTTATTTGGTATATTTATATTTTCATATTAATGATCACTTTTCAGTTCACTGAACATCTATGTGCCCTAGGACACCTGATGGTCACTTTTCTTACTTCCTATCAAGCACCCATGAGCACTAATCCAGCAGAGGCTCCTGCCAGAAGAGCATTATGAAAAGAAAGGCACTCCTGTCACACAGGCTGAGAAGCAGGGATCAAAGGGATCACTCTGCTGACTTAGCAAACTCCTGTAAGAACAGCCCCAAATGCAGGAAGCACTGAATCTGCAATGACAAAACAATTATTTAGGAGGGATTTAAATGCAAAAAGAACTTCTTGTGCTCCATTGCACATGGCAGAACACAATCGTGATATCTCAGCTCCACTCCACCCATTTCCCCTCGTACAAATACCTGGAGGGCACCAGATTTCCACTCCCATTGGCAATTTCAGTTGGCACATATCATTTCAGTTGGTCAGAACATACTAAACTGACATCTCCTCCAAACAGGAAGGAGAGAGTGAGAGCTCTCCCCAGGAGGTGGGGACTCCTCCTGAAACACCCACTGCTGTCCCTCTATAAAGCTGACCCTGCTCCTGTTCTGCCCTACTCTCTGTTGTATCCTCCACGGGGCAGATCCAGGCACCTCGAGCACCATGGCCCTTTCCGTGCGCACAAGCGGCGGGTCCCGGCAATTCTCCTCTCGGAGTGGATTTGGAGGGGGATCTCTGAGGACGTCTGGTTCTGGTGGTGGAGGAGGCTTTGGTGGCAGTGGGCTTGGGTTTGGTGGGGGGTCTGGTGGAGGGTTTGGCGCAGCTTCTGTTTTGGGTTCAAGCTCTGGCTTCGGTGGGGGCTTTGGGGGCAGTGCAGGTGCAGGATATGGAAGCAGCTTAAGCAGCGGCTTTGGTGGGAGCTTTGGAGGTGGTTTGGGTGGTAGCTATGGAAGCGGTTTGGGCAGTGGGTTTGGGGGAGGTTTGGGAAGTGGTTTTGGCAGCAGCTCAGGTGCTGCTCTTGGAAGTGGCTTTGGTGGTGGCTTAGGGACAGGTTTTGGAGGTGGGTTTGGCCCTGCTGGTGCTGGTGATGGTGGCATTCTTTCTGGCTCAAAAAAAGAGACAATGCAGAACCTCAATGACCGTCTGGCTGCATATCTGGACAAAGTGAGATCTCTGGAGGATGCCAACACCGAGCTGGAGCGCAAAATCCGTGAGTGGTATGAGAAAAGTGGCCCTGGCACTGGCACCCCTGGATCTGGGAATGACTACAGTAAATTCTACCCCTTCATTGAAGATCTTCGAAACAAGGTAGCAAGGCAATGTATTTTTTTGTATCTTTAAATTTGTAACTCACTTAATAGTATGAATGAAAATAACAAATTTCTTTCAGTAACCAAGAGCACATTTATCAGTACCTTTGGTACTGACACTTGCAGTGACCTCTGTCACCTTGCATTGGTGACATGTGCTGAATTTTTCCTGTACATTAAAGCTGTTCTGTAGTTGTGTCACACAGTGATTTGTCTAATCTGAATAAAGGAGAAGGCAGTGTTGGATTTCAGTTCTACAAACCCTTGTAGAACACAAAGTTTAAAGCCATTATTAAGCCATGAAGCCTTTGGGCTGTAACATCATTCTCTGAACACTGTATTCTAGATCATCAATGCAACCATCGACAATGCAAGGATCATTCTGCAGGTTGATAATGCCAGACTGGCTGCTGATGACTTCAGAGTGAAGTAAGGATATCTTAATGCTACAAAAACTCCTACTAATAACTTAAGGAAAAAGTTCTTTGGTATTAAAAATATCTTTCCTTGTAGAATACTTGTAATATAATTATTAAACAATATTATAATAATTATGTGTATTAAGTTTTCATATTAAAGCTAAAATAACGCACATTAATAGTTTACATTTGACCTCACTGACCATGTAAAAAATAATATTTAATCCCTTTATGCATAGATATGAGAATGAAGTGGCTCTTCGGCAGAGTGTGGAGGCCGACATCAATGGCCTGCGCAGAGTCCTGGATGAGCTGACCATGACCAGGGCAGATTTGGAGATGCAGATTGAAAGCCTGAATGAAGAACTGGCTTATCTCAAGAAGAATCATGAAGAGGTTATTTTTTTCCTTTGTGAATTCATAACAAGACACATGAAATTGTGAAACATCGAATTACTCCTTTATTTAAACCAGGTCCTGGGTTTCATTACAGGTTTTGTTTGCTGTTATTTTTTGAGTTTGCTAAGTGAAAGAGTGCAAGAAACAAGTTACAGATCCTTGTTGAAACAGAATTTATATATATTTCTTTACATATATTTTGGTAGTACTATTTTGTCTTCTATTAACAGACCCTTCTCTTTATTTTCAATCTCTCCAGGAGCTTCAGGGCATTCAAAGCAGTGAATTTGGCCAAGTCAGCGTGGAAATGGATGCTGCTCCAGGGACTGACCTGACCAAGCTTCTGAATGATATGAGGGGACAGTACGAAGTCATTGCCGAGCAAAACCGTAAAGAGGCTGAGGCGTGGTTCAATGAAAAAGTAACAACCAGAGAGAGCCAACTGAGCAAAATGCATGGGAAAATTAGTTCAATACTTGGAACTGTAAAATTACACCCTATTCTTCCTTGTCATTTCAGAGCGGGGAGCTGAAAAGGGAAATCTCCACCAACACTGAGCAGCTTCAGTCGGGAAAGAGCGAGATCACAGATTTAAAACGGACTCTCCAGAGCCTGGAAATAGAGCTGCAGTCTCAGCTTGCCATGGTATGTTCTGGGAAGCTGCTGACTGCTCAGAGCCAATTCGGCAACTTCAAAAGTCATTTTAGACCTAATCCTATTCCATAGAATTGATGATTTGCATTTATTTCCGATTAAATCCTATATTCTTTTAGTTCCTAAATAGCAGTAATATAGCTAACTGGATTATAAAGAGCATGTCACAAAGCAGATGAGTTTTTACATCACATTTAGGGAAGTGACAAGGGACCATTTTCAAACTGGTGCTTTCAAAAAGAAAATAAAACCTTCTAAGTAATGCAGCTGTGCTCACTCCCTTAAACTACTTCAGTTGGTTTTGTAAAGAGATGTTTTCCTTAACCAGAGATTATTTAATATCCTTACACAGAAAAAATCCCTGGAAGACACTTTAGCAGAAACGGAAGGTGGTTACTGCGCTCAGCTGTCACAAATCCAAATGCAGATCGGGAACCTGGAGTCCCAGCTTTTCCAGGTCAGAGCTGACATGGAGCGCCAGAACGCGGAGTACCAACAGCTCCTAGACATCAAGACTCGTCTGGAAATGGAGATTGAAACCTACAGGCGCCTGCTGGATGGCGAGTTTGTGTAAGGAACAAAGTATCTCCTTGGGTTTATTTTCTGTAGCAAAATCCTTTCCAGGAAAATACGAGGTGAAATAAGTGGAACATTCTCCAAGAGACAGTAAGGCACAAACAGTGATCTGAAATATCACTGTGACTGAGGAGAGTGAGCCATTCTGCTCACCGTTTAAATAATTTATCAATGTCACCAAGAAAAGAGAATTTATCCTGATCCTATTAACACCCTGCAATAGTGCATGTCTCTGATTCCCTTTCAGGGGAGGTGGACAGGGAGTTACATTTGAAAGTTCATCCCTGACAGGGTCCAAATCTCAAACACAATCACTGGACTCTTCCCAAGGTAGGTAGAACTTGATGGAATAAAATTTTGTTTCTAAAGTCATTCTTATAACTCCAATAATATATGTTATCCTGTTTAACTGTATCATAGAGTTCATTAAAATCAGAAGCCAATTGGAAAGGAAAAGCGGGCACGCGCTGCTTTAGTTGATCATTTTTAATACATTGATAAATACATTTTTAATACATTGATAAATATTTTTTGTTTTGTTCACGATGTTTAGATCCAACCAAAACTAGAAAGATCAAGACAATTGTCGAAGAAGTGGTAGATGGAAAGGTTGTTGCATCCCACGTTAAGGAAGTTGAAGAGAAGATATGAGGCACAATCTGATGTGGCAAAGGATCCATTTGCTCCAAGCCAAAATGGATAAATAATTTTATTCTTTTGTATGAAGTGATAAAGCATTTGGCTTTGTACTAAGAATCTTTTAGATAAGACAAAGTTGGCACTTCATTCCTTGCAGACATGCAATATATTTTCTGCTTCACTCTATCAGCATTAACTGTATGTTTTCCACAGTGTTCTTTAAAACTATCATCAAATCTCTGTTCAATAACCAGAAATAAGAAGCACACATTTAATTAGATCTGCCTTTTTATAATCGTTAGTATTATAATCAATAGATAAAACAATTTTGCTGTTCTAACCTCATTTTCCAGTTTTCATCCCTAATAAAAAAAAATCAACAAGCTTTAATGTATTAGTGTCCCTTTATTCTCTATGACCCCCTCCCGCTGTGTGGTGAGCCAGCAATAAAATATGAACATTGAAAGCAGCTAGAATTCAAAGTTCCAGAAGTTCTAGGAAAGATTCAATTGCTTATACCAACCTACCTTTAGCCTTCAGGAATCTCATAGCCAGGTGTTCTCCTAAAAAGAAAAAGAAAGCATTAGTTTATACTATCCCAAGTGCAATACCTTGTGTTTGTCTCATGGATTCCTAATGGTTTTCTTATGTAACTGTTCTCAACCCATCAATGACAGACACTGCCAATATTTTGAGTTTAGAGCTACACAGAACAAGGATAATTGAGATATTTGTAAAAAAGAGAGTGGACAACAAAACCTTTCCATCTCAGTCCAGGTCAACTGGAAGACAGTCAGCTAAGGAAAATATAATCCAAACACAGGATCCTTTCATATGTGCCAACAGACCCAGCCAAGAACAGGGAAGCCTTTTTACACCAAGAGACTTTTAAGTGGTACAATACTTTGACTTCTAAAAAGATGCGTGTCTTGTGAAAATTTACTGCCTGTCTTATCATTTCATTGATGTATAGTCTCATTCAGAATGTATTTCTCACTTTGCTAAATTTTAAATTTCTATTTAAATCGGAGATTTTTTTACTGCATATTGGAAATTGTGCACTACTGAAAAAAAAAATTAAATAAGCAAGAGGTAAAATGAAATAGGTAAGAGCCATTCTTAGCAGACAAGGTCATCGGGATCACACAGTGCTCCAGTGAGCAGGAAATGAAGAAGCACACCAGACAACCTGCGCTGACCTGCCTGGGAGCTGTCAGGAAAGGGGGAATAGCCCCATATACATCGAATGTTGTGTGTACTGAGCACACCAACACCTGGCACAGGTACTGAAACACTGTCAGAGGCAACCAAGACCCTTTTCCTGACAGCAGTGATGTGTCTGACGTGCACATTCACCAGAACTTTGCCATCTGCAGAAGAGGAGCCCATACCACAAACTGTACCAGCACTACTCACCACCAGTAGTGCTGGTTCCTCTCCCTCCTTGTGTGTTTCTGCCCATAAAAGAGGATGCCCAGGAGCCCAGCTCATTTCTGAAATGGGACAGTCCTCAACACTGGTCAGACACCCAAGTCTTCATCTCACTGAGTCTCAAATACCTTCAGAGATGGAAATTCTGTGACAACCCTAACAATAGTGAAGGCACTGCCAGCAACCCAGCTGTGCAGGGGAGGCTCTGTCCCTCCACCTCCTCTTGCCAGAGCATTTCATGCTGGGCAGCTGCATCTTTATCCTTTGCTTTCTCTCTCTTACCCCCACATTTCTGAGGTTATAAAACCCCACAGTTACAGCGTAACAAAAACATTAACACATTGATATATTAATTTCGGCACATAATTTAGGAATAGATTTTTTTTAGTGCCATTCTTTGCTGTATTGACCTGCTGCCAGGACGGGCCGGCAGGTTCGGAGCCCCCCGCGCTCCCCGAAATGGGCCGCTGCCGCTTTAACGGGCCCGCGGCCGCAGCCCCGCGCCACCGGCAGCGGAGCCGGGAGCCGGGGAGGATGGGAGGAGAAGAAGGAGGAGGATGGAGCCGGCTCGGCTCCGCCGAGAGATCAGGGCAAAGTATGAATCGCTCATCACCCGAAATCAGATAAAGACCGTCAGCTCAGCAAGGACGCAGGTAATGCCTCCTCACAGCCACACACCTTGCAGAGTACGGAGCCATTCCCTGGCCGTACAGTTCCTCCCGCAGCCTCTATGAGGTACAGTAATTCCTTTCAATGCAGCAGATTTTCGGGGAAGGGACGTGGATTTTACCGCAGTAAGATGTGAACTAGAAGAATGGAAAATAGATTTTGTTAAGGGTATAGATTCACGCTGAACGAGTGCTGTGTAATTCATCAGGATGCTTTTCTGTCCCTGCAGCCGGGTTATTGCTGGGATTTAAGGGATGATGACATAGGCTGTAACAGGGTAACCTCTAGCTCCATGTAGTTATCTCAGAGGAAAAAAAGAATCCTGAAGAGAATCCTTTTATATACAGCAATCTCTGCCATTTTTAGCCCTCTAGTAAAGTACACTGTACCTCTGCAGGAACTATTTTCTATTGCTCACAGTAAAAACTATGTTTTGCTCTTCAGCAAATATCAGTTGCTTTCTCATATAGCTTGATTAAATGTTACCAACACACAATGCTGCTGTTAGGGATTTACATACAAACAGCTCTAAACCCAACTGAAATCAAATGGCAAAACAATTTTGAGCCATCAAATGTAAAGAAATTCAGGGGGAATCAGGTATTCTGTCACCTTGTACTCAGGTATTGCAGGAGTCCCAGGTTTGTTTTAAGGACAGGCCAGACGCTGCTGCAGCCCGGCTGATCCACCAGCAGTGCCAGACACACAGCAGCTGCACACCCAACAGGGAAGCCAAGTTTATCTTTGTGCTGGCACAAAGCAACCAATGCACATTGGTTTGATCCTGTCACACAAATTCTGCAGCACCCAGGAAAGAAAGGGGAAGCAAAGAATATTGGGGGTTCACTTGTGGATGAGACAAATCTAGATTTTTCACAAATAGCTGGTAAAAGTTGCAATAGAATGTACAGGGGAACAAACCCTTTATTTTCCTTAGTTTATAAGACCTGAATTAAAGAGATTCTTTTCTTAGAGTCAATGTCATCATAAGAACCTGCATAAAGCAGTAAAATATGGAAAAGAGCAAGTGCTGTTTCAAGGGCTTATGGCAACTTCACCACTTGCAGGGAAACTCAGAATCAAAAAAGAAAAATAACTTCTATAAGCCAAACAATCATTCTGGAAGTTACATGCAGGAACACACTATCGAAATCAAAGTCCAGATCTAAAATGACCCCATACATCATCAGGAGTGGTTTTAAAAAACTACTTTTAACAGGATAAAAGGAAAAAAACCCCAAAAATTCTGAAATCAAAATGCATTAAAATTAAAGCACTTTATTCAAACCTGGAAGTTCGAACTATCTGCACCTCCTCTAAGCCACTTTACTCTAGAAGTGAGTAAGGTCTCAATACATTTGGGTAATTTTTATGAGCATTCCTCTAGGACAAAGGTGCCAGGGATAGAGATGTGGCCAACCACTTCCCGTCAAACACGGTGGGATAAGAGCTTTCCCTCTACACAGCACAAAAATATTAACTCCTCACTGTGAGCTTTCACACATTTATACCACTCTAACAAAAACTCCAACTAGACATTTTTATGTGCCAATTTATTATCGTTATTTGAATATCTTTAATATTGTTATCTTTTGTATGTCCCCTGTAGTTAGAAGAAGGTACAAGTAAAAGAATGGACAGAGATGCAGAAGCACTAAAGGCAGCCAGAGCAGAACTCTGTGAAGCCCGACGGCAGTGGCACCACATGCAGATTGAAATCGAGTCTCTCCACGCTGTGGTAAGAGTCAGAAATGAAATTTGAAATCTCTTGGAAAAAAAAGAAGTCTTGTCCTTGATGTAAACTATCCCACAGTCAATTTCTGTAACAGTCACAGGCACCATAAAGCAGAAATCCATCATGGGAACACTCAGCTTTGGGGGCTCCAGCTCCTCACAGAGCCCTCACTCACTCACTGCCCCAGCACGTGTTCTGGAGCAGGATCTGCCACTCCAGACACACCTGGAGTCCTGTTTTCACACCTCCCAAGCACAGATTTGCATGATACTCCCCCACCAAGCTCCTGGTCATTCTGCCTTATCTCACAGCATGTTTATGAGCATTTTTTAACGTGTGGACCAGATTTATCAATTCATTAGTGACAAAATGTCAGCCATTTGCTCAATTCAGCAGTATAGAAAAGCTCCAAGAGCACACAGACACTTCATACAGCACTGAGCTAGACATTGTTTAACTGTAAAATCAGAGATCTGTAAACTCGAGGCAGTGGATTGCTGTGCAAGATATGGCCACTCTTTCATCTGATCTTAAATTACCACAGATTTTACTGGAAAAATTCTCAGCCAAAATATTACCTTAAAAGTTTTACTCCTGTTCTTAAAGAATAATCTTACAAGAACTAATGTAAAAATACACAATTAGTTAATGAAACCATGTACACCTGTAACATCTTTACACACAAACTTTCCAAATTTTAAAATATGACTTAAATTTCACAGGAAAAGGGTTTGGAACGTTCACTGAGGGCCACAGAACAGCAGTACCACATGCAGCTACAAAATTTGGAAGGTGAGATTGAATGCTTGGAGAAAGAGTTGTTGGATGTGAGAAGGGGAATTGAGAAACAGCTTCGAGAGCACGAAATTCTCCTGAACACGAGGATGAAGCTGGAGGAGGAAATAGCGACATATCGCAGTCTGTTGGAGCAAGAAGAAAGCAGGTACTCGCTGCTTAGAGCAAAAGATCTCAAATTTGTCTTCCATTTCTGAAAGTCTTAAATAATGAGAATTGTAAATAATGAACTAAACCTTAAAAAATTACAGTATAAAATCTTAGAAAAGGTTTTGTTGTAAGGTAGCTTCACTGACTGCAGAGTTTCTGGTGCTCAGTGTCTCCCACACGTTGCAGAGAGCAGCTCAGTCACTGCAGCCTCACTCGAGGCACCGTGGGACACTGGGGGCCTGTGGCCCCGCAGATCTCAGAGAGGACAGGGCCAGTCCACACACATGAAGTGTCCACGTCTCAGACCAGGACAGACCCCTACTGCACATGTATTGCCAGTAACTTCCTCCAGTTCTGACCTCAGAATAAGAAATCCCAACAAATAGTTACCACCATCAAACAGAACGTCTCATGATTCTCACATTTTTAAATTTCTCACATATGACAAGTTAGGAACTAAATTAATACTATTAGATGCCTGGAATCTTTTTTTTTTTGCAGGTTCCGTTGCTCAATACCTGCTCAGAAGGATGAAAAAAAGCCCAGCACTAGCAAGATCACCTTTATGCTGCCTTCAGGTGAGTTTCATGCACCTTCTCCTTAAGGGTTTTGGCCCTAACTGTTCACAACTACTGACAAATTCCTGAATATTAAAAAAGGACCTTTTCAAATGTATGGGAAATACCTCCAGGTCCTATGTACTGCCCTTGCCCTTCTGCATGCTCACTGTATATCTGCATATTCTTTTACAGAGGGTGTAAAGAAGCACAAACCAAAGAAGGTGGAACTGATGACAAAACAAGCAATCCTAGATGGAAATATCATGAAGGAAAGTGCTGAAGCTCATGGCACTGTACAGTAAGATAAACAGGAATTTCACAAAATAACAATTGGAAGTAAAGAGTGGAGGTTATGTTTCAGTAGCTTTGAATTTTCCGTTACTTGGTATCTGTTTTATCATGCCCACAGAGCCCAGGAGCTTCAGAAGCACAGGGAGAGCTCCTGAAGGTGCACTCAATGGCAGTGTTTAACAATACATTACATTTAAAAGTTCTTTTTATTAGCATTGGCTTCACAAGCAAATAATACCATTCTGGTGCTTCTGATTTGTAATTTCTATTTCTGTTAAGAATGAAACTATGAATAATTCATCTTGCTAAGGCTGAAAGCAAAGAGCCCAGACCACATTCGGGAAGTCCCTCTGGGGCATATTTATGCACATAAATTCAGGCTCAGCTGCTCCAACTTGCTCCTTGGAAACTCCTACGTTTCCCCAAACAGGGGAGGGAGAGCCTGGCTCCCAAATAGGCATGTGAAAGTCTGTTAGGATGTGTTATTCACCTGAAATTACTTTAATAGCAATGGGTTGCCTCATTTTTATTTTTTTTTCCTGCTGCTCTCTGAGCTTTTTTTGTAGGCTAATTTAATATTACCTTTAAACTCACTGTAGTGGGCCATTCCTAACACTGAACCATAATCAGCTGCTGAAAAAATTAATGCCAGCATAAGGCCCCACCAGACACACCCTATAGATGACGTTTATTTTTGTGCACAAGCTTTGTTCATCACACACTCAGATCTGCAAGGAGCTACTCCACCAGGTGCAGTGTACTCAGCTGGGTGAGGCCCCAGGGCCTGACTTTCAGATCTGAATTCTGACACACACATAAAGAATTGAATCAATAGGATTTGGGTGCCTCAATAGTCCTGGATCAGCTGGCTTTTCAATTCTCACTATTTTACTTCTGCCCCTTTTTCTCTTTGATGTAATATAGCTCCACATTCTGAAGTTAGAGTCTAAACTAGATTTTCTCCTCCCTATTCTGAAGGTTTTCAGGTGCAGGAATTCTGTCCTGCTCACTACAGTACTGAGGTTTCTTGCAAAATTTTTGAGCTTGGATTACAAACTTTCTCCTTGGAAACAAACTGCCTCATGTATTTGGAGCAGTGGTTTTGTAGCCATGTCTACCTAAAAGTACAAAAACAAGAACATAATGAACCCTCATCCTTTATTTAGCTTCTCTGGAGAATGAATCTGTAAAAAAAGACACCTCTAGTATCTCAGTATCATATAAAATAACTCGACTTTTTATGATGCCATTTCTCTCTCTGTTTTAAAAGCAGTTCTGAAGATAGATAACTAATATAGACAAAAAAATCATAAATACATTTTCTTTATTGTTTCAGGACAGAAAAAGTGGATGAAGTTATTAAGGAATGGGAAGGTTCTTTCTTTAAGGACAACCCTCGCTTAAGGAAAAAGTCCGTTTCCTTGCGTTTTGATCTCCACCTGGCAGCCACAGAGGAAGGGTGTTTGCACACAAAAAAGAAAACCCTCCCCGACATTGAAGTCAGGCTGGTGATGAGGAGATCCTGCAGCATCCCATCCATCAAACCTTAACCTCAGCCAATTCCCTCAAAGTGCATCCACAATGGGCTCCGGAAATAAACTGTAGATGGACTCCCACGGCTGCTGTCTGCTACAACCACAACATCTTACCAAGCACTTGGATCAATACAATAAAACCATATAAGTCCTTTAATAGAAAGGGTGAAGAGCAAGGGGGTTCCAATTCCAAGAAAGCCTACTTTTATTGGTTTTATACTCTGGGTGCAGCCCTTTCATTTTCTCATTGTTGTTGTTTTGTAGAATTTCTCCAAATATTACAAAAATTAAACTAGAACTTTATAGTTTGACATACTTTGCCTTTATAAAGAGAACTTGTTTTCTCTTTCCAAAATTGAGAAATGCCTATTTGCTTAATTATTCAATATTCCATTCATATAATGACTGGTGAATCCTTGCAATAATTTATATCACAGCTATCATACTTCTAGAAATATATTTTAAAATAATACTTTCTAAGAGCAAAAATTACACACAAAATTACTTTTAAAATACATGAACTATTAATGAAGAGTTTTAGAAGTGGCTAGTATTTTTAAATTCCTTTTTTTCAGGCAACAACTGAACAAAAATATCTTTCCTCTACATCCTTGTACACCTATTTTAAAAGTGTTGTTACAATCCAGTAACATTTTAGCCATATTGTTCAACTGATTTTGAACCAGTAACTTCCCCTGAAAAATCATTTTCTTATGTGTCCACACACACCTGTACTACAAGTCTCTCAGCCAAGGCAAATGAAATTACTCTCTAATTGTTGAAATGTTCAAACAACCATTTGAATGTTGGTATTCCATTAATTTTGTTTATTATGACAATGTGCATTGAAATATCCTCAACAAATTCCTCTTCTGATAAAAACTACAGGTAAGTGATGCTGTTGATCTAGTCCATGTGACAAGTCACTGTTATATCAGGGTACAACTGTTACTACTTCAAATTAACTGGGCAAAATAAGGGCTACAAATTCAAACTACAATTAAACCAGACCCCTTAAGTACCCCCCACTCCTACCCAAAGTAGCTGTGGGAAAACACAAACCCCAACAGAAACCCTGCACCAGTACAGAGAGGAACAGCCATCATTCTTTAAAACCTTATGGGACAAATTACAAAGACTCAAACAAGATTGTACAAAGACAAGAATGATTGTTTGTGAGGATTCTGAAGAGGATGGATGTCACAGCTCCCACTGGAACGCTGGGATTCCTGGGGCTCAGAGTCTGCAAAACCCACGCACAGGATTTGCTGGATTACAGCAGCATGTAAAGGATTGATTTCAGTGTCAGTATCTGCCTTATTACTTATGGCATGTGTACAAAAGTGATACTGCAGATTTTTTCAGAGTTAATTTATGCTTCTATCCTTTTTTCATGGTAAGAACAATGCATCAATATTGCCCCGTCCTGTCTGTACTGTATCAAACTCGCTAATTATCCTTAACCTGAATCATGAGCTGATGTTACCATTTGAGTACTTGGCAACCTGAATGTATCAGCCTGCTCCAGTATTTTCACTATGCAGCTTTTTTTTGTGCTTAGACTGTGTACATTTTACAATACTTGAATTTAAACTAAGTTTTAATTGCTTTAAGGCACTTTAAACAGGGATACGAATTTACCAAAGTAAATTATAGTACTACAATAAAAAAAGTATTAAAATGGCGTTTGTCCATGCATATTTTGTGTGTGTCAATGTCTTCTCCTTAAGTGGAAAGGTTTAAAAGAAAAATGCAAAATAAAAGTTGCAGATAGGAAAACCTGTAGCACTGTAACAAATGTTTTCTATGAGCCCCCCTGCAATCAGAAAGACACAAATTCCCTCTTTATCTTTCCTTCTATCTATCTATCTTTACGGATAAGAATCTTTACCATAACATGTGAGTGTTCTCCTGCTACAGAACTTACTCTTTTTTCCTGGTAAATCCAGTCACCCTGCCTATCTTCTTCAGGTGTGACTTCCTCATACTGACTTCAGTAGCTTCTGCTACTCTAAGCCTGGTTTAAGAGGGCATTCTGGTTTTAACTAAGTTTTCACCCCTTTCAGTAAGTATCTATTTTTGCATTATTCACAAATTCCAGCTCTTCAAATGTAAAAAACACTCTTTTGTTCACGATGTAGTGAACTTCCACAAGTGTCAGCGTGAACTCCACATTGGCATCAAATAATATCTCACCCTCATTTTTAGGTCACTTTAAAGCTGAATTTAAAAAAAAAACAAACAAAAAAACACTGAAGCTTAGTACTATGGCAGAGAATTCTTCATTTCTGTGGGTCTAATTAAATCCAGACCAGCTGAGCCTCTGCCAACCAGCACCTGCAAATGGCTGATGTAAAAACGAGTTTCATTGTCTCAACCTACTTCCCAGTGAATGTTTGTCCTCATTCCAGAGCTTATGAAACTGCTGGTAATTAAAACAGTTGGGTAAGAATTAGTTTTTACATCCCCCCTGGTAAGCATGGTGAAGTATAAACAATTCCATTAAATCAGTAAAAGTACTTATATATTGTACAGGATATTAAATAGCATATGCTGGCAAAAACCTTTCACTATCACAAGATGGAACTGAGGCAAGGAGCACAGTAAGAAAAAAAAGGGGGAATAAAGCAAAGCAGGAAATACACTGGTGGCTTTGAAAACATAATGATTTAAAATAATTAGTGTAGAATATGAGTTTCCATAAATGTACTTAAACACCATAATAAGCAATTCCATTTTAAAAATAAATGCATTTAAAATAATTAAAATTTAAAAATTAAAGTGTAATTTAAAAATAATAAATACTTCAAAATTTCAGTTTTAAATGTAACATTAAATGCAATTTATACTATCAACAAAACCATGTTATTAATAAACTAGAAGTGAATGTATGAAACTAGGGCGAAACCTGGTCAAAAGCATGGGGAAACCAAGTTATTTTTCACTTCTTACAAGTATTTTCTCACCTTTTCTTTACCTTTTCCTGACCCAGTGAAGTTGGTGAACTAGTGTGATGTATTTTGCTGGCTGAGGAATCTTTTCAACTCTTGTTTTAATATCAAATTGAAGTCACAGATTATTCTGCTGCATGTCAATAAATGGCTATTGTAGGTATAGTCAGCAGAGTCTAAGCAGATGAGGGCAGAGCTCTTGTCGCTTTATTTGTTCATAAAAATAAGTTTATTTAAGCAGGAAAACACACTTGGGCCAGTGGAACTGTAAGCATCAAGAAAAATGGACCCAACTTGCAGCAACCCATGTTCAGTTAGTTTTTCTTTTTTTCACCTTCTACCTTCTATCCTTTTGGGTTAGGCAGGTATCAACCCCCTTGGCTTTCCTCAGATCCACACAAATTCTCACACATGAATGTCTAGAAATATATCTTATTGGCCACGTGAGAGCATTTCAATGCCAAACATTCAATTTCAACGTCAAACATTCAGTAACAAAATTTCAATTTCAAGTTTCACTGCCTAAGTTTTCATATTTAGTTCAGTCACTGATAATTTTCAGTGTAAAAGGCTGTAAAGCTGAATGCTGAGATCTGAAACTCTTCGTCTTCTTCACACCCTCAATCCACATGCTTCACCTTGTTTGATATTTGTGAGGGTTTTACCTGTGTGTGATTACTTTGCTGATTGCTGCAAGGAATTGTGGACAATTCCACTGCTCCCAGACTACTAGGAAATTTATAATCCCGTGAGATTCCGCAGCAGTGTTTTGAGTTCGTCAGGCTCATTTAATTGACAATTATCATGTATGATCGTATTTAATACCCGGGGTCCATCTCGCTGCCTTCCCAGCCATCCCTAACGCTATCCCTTTCCTGACCTTCTCCCAAACGCCGGCACCTTCCCGCTGCCCTCAGAGCTCATCCTGCTCCACTGAACCGCCTCTGAAAACGCTGCCATTCCAAACAGCCATTTCGGCACAGAGCAGGATCTCCCAGCACTGACGGACGGTGCACCTGACTCCATCGCTGATTTTATGGGATATTATTCGGGCTCGGACACGACCCCGCAGCATTTCCCCGTGGCCTCACGGCAGCCCAGGGGCTTCAGGAGTCGCGCGCTGGCCGTGAGGGGAAAAAGGCGCCAAACTCCCCTCAGGGGCCGCGCGCTGCCCGTGAGGGGGAAAAAGGCGCCAAAGCGCAGCGGGCACGAGGCGTCCGCAGGCCCTTCCCTGTGCGCCCGTTCTGCGCCGCAGGTTCACCACCGGCAGCCATCACTCGGGGCACGGCCACCGGGGAGGGGACGGTGCGGTGCTTGTCACAGAGGGTCTGGGGTGCCTCAGGAACCCCGCTCACACGCCGCGGGACAGCGCCTCCCTGCCGCTAATGGCGGGCGGGGCCGCCCCTCGCGCGGAACTCGGGTTGCATCCCGCAGATTCGCAACGGCCTCTGGAGTCGCCGCCGTCCCGGAGGGTGCGGGGTCGGC